GGGGTAGGGAGGAGGGGGTTTCTGGGACAGATTACATGGGGCTTTTGCTATAGGGAGCTTTGTTTACAATGGTGTCCTCTTATTGCTGTATTTTCTGCGGCGCAGAGTGGAACATGATGGCGCTCCAGGCAAAAACAGAGCCGAGCCCTGGGGCGAGTTTCACCACGAGGAAGGAGCCCCGACTTTGTTGTTTCTAATGGTGGCGTCGGAGCACTCCGCTTCTGACGTGTCACAGTCTGAGTCGCCGAACTGGAGCGGGTTCTACGAGAGAAATGAGAAGATGCACAGAAGCATTAGCAAAGATCCAAGCTCAGGGATGGCTTTATTATTATATACTGTTTTTACATGATGGAGGTGTGATACAGTAAATAAAATAAAAAACTAATATGAGTGTAACCTAAAGGCAATGCAAACCCTGTGTGTAGTCTTTCTGCCCTTTATTTATAATTGTTATCAAACCATATGATTGTTAGGTGAATTTATTAATCATCAAAGTAAAGGCTTTTACTGACCTGGTTACACACACATGCAGGTTCTGTTTGTCTGTACTGACAGAGAAATATCTCTTCTGTATTAATGAATTGCATATTGACAGAATAATTCTGTTTGTTTTGGTGTGTATCAGGATGACATAGTTCAGTGTGTTAGCATGCTAGCATTTGCAAATCAACACTAAGCACAAAGTACTGCTGAGGATGATGGGAAGGTTTTGCAAATATTTTTTTATGAGCCCGTATTGGTTAAAAATGATCTCTTTGAAAGGAATGTTGTCTTTAAAAAAAAACAAACACCATTTATCAGAGCCAGCAGCTCTAAAAACAGAGAGAACTGGCAGATTTGAAGCTTTATGACTTTACTTGACTGCTCTGACAGGAACCTGAACAAAATCCAAGCTCAAAATCATGATATTTCATTAAAACCTGGACTTAAAAAATGTGGCCTCCTTGGTGCAACCAGGAAGTGGCGACTTACGCTCACAAGACAAAAACTCAGGGACTTTTCAGCTGAACTGCAGGCTGTGTTTACACAGAGCAGATAGGATTTTGGGTAGTATTGGTAACACCTTGGGAACTTTGAATTTTGGTTCAATTTTTGTCAAATTAAAAGAAAAAAAAACAACTTTTTAAAGAATGATTTATGGCATTATAATGTTGATATACTGCACAAAACACATTGTTTAACTTCTAGCCTGGTTGTGCTGTTTCCACAGATGGCAGAGCTTTATATTGCAGTGAAAAATGAGCTCACAGTGAGTGGCAGGGGCAAAACAAAATGTTCACAAAATGCTGGAAGTTCAAAGTGTTAAAATCAGTAGAATCCATGGACTGGAACCACAAAGGTCTTTTGATTTTTTTTTCCAATGAAATCTGTCTGGATTAAGTAGTGGACAGACTAACTGTCAGACACACACTGCCATCACTAGAGCCACACTGCAAGCAAAGCTAAAACTTCACACACACACACACACACACACCCACAGCACTGACCTCGTAGCTGTGTTCATCAGAGCACAGTTTTCCCAGTGAGATCTGTGTCTTTACCCTGCGGACGGCACACTCCTTGTCAGAGAGGCCGTCCGACTGGGTGGAGATGTCAATGGGGATGTCTGGTGTGTGCGACAGCAGCTCATCCAGGTGCTCCTCCTGGCTGGCGCTCATCCTCTCCAGGGGTCCGCTGTGCGAGTGGTCGCTGGTGTTTCCCTCCTCCCCGTCAGACACTGACAGGTTCTCTGAGCTGAAGGTGGAGTACGACTGGAAGCTGCTCATACAGCGATGAGGTCTGTGAGGGAGCAGGGAAAGAATAAATCTGATATCATTCAGCAGTTACCTTGGAGATTGGTTCACACTTAGTTCACTACACTTGGAACTTATCAATATTTAATATAATTGTTAAGATGCAGTGAAGATTATTTTCCTTTTGCTGCACCAGATGATGTAACCGGGTTGCAACATAGTTGATGTCAAGCTTACAAACTGAATGACCAACTGCATTTTACCTCTGTCTCCTTGGAAACTCCACTTCACTATCCACCTCTCCCTCTTCCTCTTCAGATGACTCATCACCACCCTGCAGAAGCAATTGCAGCTGTTAATCAGTTTCTTGAACACAAACACACGTCACGCATTCACTGACATTCGACTCCCGGTGTTGCTCACCTTCCTGAGCGGCCTGAGAGTGCGGGGCAGTGCAGTGGGCAGAGTGTGTGTTTGTTGGGACGCATCCTGTTCCTGTGGCTCAGCCTTCTTTGTGGCCTCTCCATCCGAGGTTGTATCTTTGTTGGGTGCCCCTGAAGAAGACTGGGTGCTTTCTTGGGTGTTGAGCAGCGAGTAATGCGGCAACTCCGGGTGGTTTGATGCGGGAGGGGTCTCCTGACAGTGTAGGCAGCCGGGGAAGGGGTGAGCCTGGCAGCAGGGACATAAAGAACCAGCACCAGCACCGGGTACAGGATTGGAGCTGGTGGATGAAGTCCGCTGTCGTGTGTCTGCATCCATAGCAGTGGAAATGAGGTCAGGGCTGGAGCCAGAAACGCGGCGCTGCATGTGGTCAGTCTGGGGACTACGGAGGGCGGCGGCGGGGCCAAAGTAGCGCAGGTTGTTGGCACAGTTGACAACGGCCTCCTCGCGGCCTTTCAAGGGCAGGAAGGGCCCCTCGGTGGGTGGGAGGTGGTGGTGGTGATGGTGGTGATGGTGGAATGTCTGCTCCTGGAGAGACTGGGTTTCCTCCGGTGCCCCAGTGACAGGCTTCAGCACGGCGGAGAACTCGCTGTGGCTGCCTTTGCTGTTGGCGCGGCGGTGACGAGGCTTGCTTCGGTAGCGGGCTTTGCCAGGAGGCGTGGAGACCTTTGGGCTGGCAGACAGTGGTGAGGGGGAGGGGAGAGGGTCAACGCTGGGGATGCCATCAGAGCGAAGCAAGTCTGGCCTGTAAGAAACGAATTACATTTGGCAGCATTAATTTAGCGTATCTAAGTTAATTCTTTCGTCCCTGTATTTCGTCAAGTGAAACTTATCGGAGCATGTAAGAACCGATCTTACTGTACTAAGAGCTGTCACTACATAAATGTCTCAACTGCCTGTGAACCCCATCTCGATTAGTCTAAAAGCTAATTGGTTTATAACAATTGAAACATGGATTGTCTTTAACAGATAGCTGGTCACTTAGCTCAAGTTCTGACCTTTTAGTGGGGGGCATCCCGGGTTTATGCGAAATGCTTCCTTTCTTCTTGATGAGCTTCTCCACAGCGTTGGACCTGACAATGGGTCGGACCAGGTGGCGCTTGTAGGTCCCGGGATATTTCTTCTCCACTGCCTGTTCTCTCCTAAAGAGACCAAAGAATTAGTTTGTAGTTATATGATCACATTTACTTTTACACAGAGTTGCAGTTTTATTAATCCAACCTCGAGGAAATAGAGATGAAGTGAGTTGATCAAAGCTGAAGAAGTTGGTCAAAGAATTAGCAAAAAAATCTAGAAACTCGTTGATTTTTATTTATTTTAGTCCTACTTGAGTAAAAACAAGAGTCTAAGAAGTATAAGTTAAAATGTGAAAGGACTGTCTGAAAATTAATTTGATGTTTTTCAGGCTACCCTATTGTTCTTGTTGTTCTAACTATAGCCGAACATTCTTTTAGTTGTTGTTGTGAAGCATCACCAACATATCTGTTACTGGAAAAGCCTTCGAGAAAGAGGAAATACTGGTAAAGTGACAACGACACAAGAAGCAGAACATTTATCACAATGACTTCTGAGATAAAAATGTTGATCTACGTACTTCATCAGTTCCTTCTCTCGGACCTCCAGCTGCAGCATGATGGCACTGAGCTCCATGTAGAGGTTGTTGGCTCTCTCCAGTTTCCTCTCGTAGTGCTCCCTGATGTCCAGCGCATGCCTGAGACGACACAGGAAATGAAGCCAAATGTTCACTCCAAACAACTTAATTACAAATCAGCAGCAAGTCTCACGGTCTCCTATGAGCAGGCAACATGTTTACTATGGCTTTGATGAGCTCTCCTGCTCTCTTTGCTAACACACCTGAGTTCATCCCTCCTGCGTCTGATCAGCTCCTCGTCCAGCCGGTGGATGCAGGTGCCTTCGCTTTTGATCTTCTCAAAATGCTTCTTTACTTCCTCCCTCCATTCTGCCTGTAATGTGGATAGACGCAGTCAAAATGCTGACTGCACTCAATGGTATGGTAACAATTATCTTGAGCAAATAAATACAAAAATGTAGGGTTTTGTGGAGCTTCTTTTCACTGTATACCAAATTTCATAACGCAGTGTATAGGAGCCTGTTACATATAGAAGGTAAAGGGGATTTGTTCACATTGCTCAGTCCAAACCTGAGACTTGAAGTAGGTCTCCTGAGGAGCTCCTAGAACATCAGCAGAGGCGATGTCGAGGTGTAGAAGAATCTGACGAAACGACGGCCGATTCCTGGGCTTGCCTTGCCTGGAATCAGGAAGGATAAATGTAGCAACTAAACAATTTAACAGTTGTTTGTTTTCCACTTACGGTTAATACTCACCATGTTTGCTTCATAAGGATTTTAAACCCATCTGGGCAGGTGGAGGGGACAGGAAGGTGAAGACTGTTGCTACCAACACCCCAAATGATGGCAGAGGAGTCCACGTCTTTGTAGGGAATCTCTCCGGTGAGCAGTTCCCATAAAACAACTCCAAATGACCTGCACGAGTAAAGATAGACACATCTCACCAAAACAGCATCACGTGAATCTCCTCTATGATATTTCACGACTGAACACTGGCTTGTTTTTTCCAAATATGTGGCATGTTACTACTCACCAGATGTCCACTTTTTCAGACACGGGCTCATTTCTTATCACTTCTGGGGCCATCCATGCCACCGTTCCCGCAAAGGACATCTTTGTACTTTTGTCACTGAGCTCTTTGGACGTTCCAAAGTCGGAGATTTTCACAGTGTCGTTGTGGGTAACCAAAACACTAACACACAAAAGAAAAAAAACATTAGTTTGATTAAGAGGACAAAAAAAAGGCAGACAAAGCCATATCAAAGCCAGGCAGTGTCGACATTATGGGGTAAACTGAGCTGGGTCAGACCAATCAGACTGATGATGAAGTTTCTTCTGTCATATTCGACTGGTTTTTAAAGGGGTATGAGTTTTTTTGTAGCACTTGGAATCAATCTTTAAGCCTAAAAGACTCCGCTGTTACAGAAGCACATTTCTGCATCTGAATCACCCCATTAGCCAAATGAGAGTGACCTTTCCAGCACATTCAGCGTGCTATCATTCTGCTGACTAATACAGTGTTTGGCACTGCTGCAGCATGATGATATTGATTAGAGGAACGGGGCTACGGAGTGCAGAGGACGAGGCAGGACAGCGGGAGTGACAGAACACTTTGTCTTACTTTTAAAAGACAACTAGGTTTTAATAATTCTGAGAATGACATCTGAGTTAACGTCACACTCTCTAGAGCTGAAAGGATGAACTGTTGTTGATGCTGTGGTCTGAGAATGTTGGAACAAAGCTGCTGAGCTCTTTCACTGGGCTTTTCAGATCAGCTTTAAGAGCGTGACCACAGCGTGCATGTGCTGCCGCATAACTTAATACACCAGGAAACCATACACTCCTTTCCAATAAATACATGCAGCAGCATTTTTACATTTTTTGTTGTACCTCTGCATTTTTCTCGGCACACTTGTAAATGATGCTCCTACGTCATTAGTCTTTCAGGGGCCAACAAAGGTTTGCATCACACAATATTAGCTAAAGAGGAATCTCACTTGGGAGACTTGAGGTCTCTGTGGATGATCTTGTGAAGGTGTAGGTAGTTCATGCCGCTGGCGATGCCCGAGGCCCAGTCCACCAGGAGTCTGGGGGTCACTTTCCTCCCCGCCCTCAGCACCTCATACAGCTGGCCCTGGGCACAGTACTCCATGATGATGCAGTAGCAAGGTGCCTGGGTGCACACACCCCTGGGAAAAATAAGAACACATTTAAAGACCAACACACCAACTCAGTGACTGTTAACCATGCAAACTCCGTCAGAGTTCCCACAGCTGACAACAACGAGCCAACATCAGGTAACACACGAGGGCAGCAGGTTGTAGACTCACTTGAAGCTGATGATATTGGGATGCTTCAGTTTTCGCAGGTGTTTAATGTCCGTCTCCTTCTGCTCTCGCACTTTCTTAATGGCAACCTCCTCGGAGCGGAACTTTCCCAAGAAGACAGCTCCCTGTGCTCCGCTGCCCAGCCACTGCAACTCTGAAATCTCCTCAAACGGAACCTCCCACATGTCTGGAAATCAGGGAAATTGCATTTCATCAATATGACAACTACATCCTGCTACTCTGTGAATTAAATAAGACATGGATTAGGATTATCTGTTTTTGGTGATGTCACATTTTCTCTTCAGAGGGTATAGTTATAAGTGCATTCGCTAAATATGAGTACCTTCATATAAAGCCTCAGTCTTCAGCTGGTCAGTTAGGCATCACATAAAGGTTGGTAACAAAATCTGCACACTTAAATCTCACTAATCTACATGTTATATCGTGTTTGTTGAAGGCATACAAAAACTGAAATGTTCAGCTACTTTTTTCAAAAGTGGAACTGTATCCTGAAGGAAAAAAACACGGCTACAAACAACAACATGTTGAATCTTTCAAGTCTTTTCTTTCTTTTTCTAACATTGTAACTCAGAGGTGCAGGATTTCTCAGAGGCACAAATATGTAACACAACTACAACTCACAAAGTAAACACTAGTATTTGTGTTACTGAGCCATACTGAGCAAAAAATAAACCTAAAGCCAAGTGCAAGAAGCTATAACTGTCTTAGATATTCAAGCAGTGAGTCATCTGCTCTTCCATCCTCGTTATGTGGTTTTGGAAACAGTGCAGAGGAGAAGCTATGCTGCTTAAACCTCTAAAACCCACTGCGAGGCTGACCAACCAAACAACCTAGCCCAGTTCTGTCTGACCTCAGCTCATATCCTCCAGCCTGCGTGTCCATCCTGCACAGGCAGCCCTGCAGCAAGGTGAGTCTACCTTTACCGTGACCTCAATTCAAACTGACAGCTGTGCAGCTTCACTCACAACAGCAATATGGTGAAGCTAAGAACGGCTATTCAATTACAGCTTCCGAATACATGAGGAGAAACAGGAAGCGATCTTTAGTTTGTTTCTGAGAAGTCTTAAAGGCACAATGACACTTTCAGTAAACAGAGGATTCAGCTTGTTAACATAATACCATGCAGAGAGATGAAACCCAGAGCTCACCTTGCTGCTGTAGCTTGTATTCGGTTGAGTACGTCTTCCCTATGATGTTCCAGACAGGCCGAAGACAGCCAAACAGCCCCTCTAAGAAGCCCCCCGACCCCGGCCCTGCTCTTTGGAAGTGCAGCTTGATGTCATCAGGGTGATGCGGGTGGCTCGGTCTCCCCTCTCCGTTGTGGTCCACGGGACAGTCTCCTTCTCCGGTCTGCTCTTCCATGCCACTGCCACACCCGCCATGCTCACAGGACGCCGGCGACCCGGCTTCCTCGTGCTCGTGTTCCTGCAGCTGCAGCACGCTGTTGTCAAAGTGTCCGCCTTCGCTCCGTGTCGAGTCCACGCTCAAGGCCGTGTTTGCTGGGCTAACGCCCCCCAACACAGAGTCCTCGTCCTGGCCGGGCGTCTGCAGCGTCTGCAGGGGAACGGGCAGGTGTGTCGGCGGGGCAAGGTCCGTGATGATCTGAGGAGGTAAGCTAGAGAGAGGGGCCTGAGGAGGCTGGGGTTGGGAGTTGGGCGAGTTCGATTTCTTCATGGCGTCCCCAACCACAGTGAGTTTAAGCTCCTCCTTCAGCTTGCCCACCAGCAGACTAGGGCAGGAAGTCCACGAGAGCACCTCGGGGGAGCTACCCATGGTGTCGTGCATGTGCATGGGCTGCCCAGTGATGACGAGAGGGACGAGTCCTAACACACTGGTAGGTCTGAATACTGAGAATCACCTGCAGAATGGGGAGGTAGAGAACAAGAAAGAGAGAAGGGTCAGTTAAACTATAAAGTAAGGGTGATGTGCAGATGAAAATAAAAAGCTGAGTTAAATCCATTTATGTGATTGTCGTCACCTCTAACGAAACATCATAAAAACTCTTGACACGATAGAACTTTCATTACTTCCAAAAAGAAAAATGCAATCCTTGAATTTCCTCTCATAGATCTGGGCTTGAGGGAGCTTAAATTAATGGTTATTTTTAGCTGTGAGCCGCAACAATTGCTGAATGAAAGACATTGCAGGATAAATAGGAATAATACAATTCTAGGAAACTTATGGGAAACAGTTGGACTAAAGCAGTCACACACGCACAGCCGAGGCTTTTCTATGATCTCTGTGAGGCAGTAACGGTATAGAAGGGATTAAAGGTCTTGCTGTGTATTAGGACTGCTGAGAGCAAGACATCTGGCACACACAGCCCATTCTCACTGTTTAAAACAACAACAACATCAGCCGTAGCCACCACGGGACCAGGCAGCCGCAAATATGCTCGTTTTCTTCTATCACAGAAACACCAGGAGAAAGTCTTTACTGTCTGTCTAATGGTGAGAAGACAACACAAGACAACATCACTATCTCTAGCAAGATACATGTAATTCTTTGCTGTGATAGATTTCCTGTGCGGACGTAAAAGACAAGAGCGACTATGTTTGGACAACTCAGGAAAATAAAAATCAATAAAAATCAAGACATAACCAGCAGAAATCATCTGTGAAATACATCCAGAGGTATAAAAGTGAAAGCTTCCGCGGCCCACTAATACATTTATATAATCGTGTATACTGTTATATTGCCAAAGCCTACATGTCACCACTGTCCACAAAGGCCTGAGGCAAAAATCCACATTTTCCATGAGCCAGTAACCTTGTTCACCTGTACTGAATGTGAACAGGAACAATGCATTGTGACCAGTTCCACCTACTAGCGTCTTCTAAGCTACCAAACCACATCTTACAGTCTTCACCTGCGAATTAAACGGACTCAGGTGTGATCAGGTGACTCTGGTAAGTGTGAACAAAGACATCCAGCTACAGTTGCTGATGAAAATCACAAGATGAAGCTCATATCACTTTGTCATGCTTACTGATTTAAAGGTATAACATGAACCTGCCTGCTCAAGGAAAACTGAAGGATTGTTTTCAGTAATGCAGTAAAAAGTCTCACTTTATGTATGATAACCTTGGCAGGTAAAAATCATGTGAACAGCAGACAAACAAATATTATTTTGTGCATTAACAAGATCAAAACTAAAGACACATTTGTCTGTTAATGTCTTAAAAACTGGCAGTAGGATGCTGTTGCTTTGTTTGTTTGAGTCAAAATAAACTATAGTTACTGGGTTTATGATATTAAAATAAATTATGCGCATTTGTTTGTCTTTTTAAATTTTTTTGGGACAAAAACTAATTTCTGTTACACAGCACTATAAGTCATTAAAAGATTTTTTTTCATGCGATAAATAAAAATTACAGACAATCTCCAGTCTTATGTTTAAATGTTTTTGGATGACGTTGATCTCCATTTGTTCCACCACACATTCCTTCTCCATTTGTATTCAATGGATGGAAAAACTCTATTCATTACACCAAGGACACGGCTATCTCTACGTAACAGTAACAGGTTACAGCCACTCATGTGCAGTACTTTGCTTGATTACAACATCTTAGATCATACATTCTGGCAGCACATGTTTCTGTTTGTAGAAAAATTATGTAATCTCAGAGATAATAGACAGAGTCCACAGCATGCGTGTCTGTCTGCCCTTCACATCAGTGTCCCTGGGCCAGATGTGTTTGTGTGAGGGGCATTGCTGTGCAGCGCTGAAGCCGCGGTGTCTTTTCCAACACAGCGGCTAGAGCTGCCAAAGTCGAAAATGTTCAAATCTTACACCCTGGGACTTTAATTTGTTGCAAGTGTATCACACACTGTGTTTTTCGACAAACAGATGGCCATTTATCCACAGCCTGACTGTGCTCGTTTACCAATCTTGGCAAAGAGGAAAAACAAAAAAACAAAAAAAAAACAGCACATAGTGAATCAATTGCTGTGGAAATGACACTTGAGTTTTTTTTCCCCCCTACTTTAAACCCAAGAGGACATAGCCTCAGAAAACTAATCAAGTTGGAGGGGGCAGTAGAAAGCAGCGAGAGGGACACAGTAAGAGGCTGTACAGTTTGTGTACAGTCACAGCGGATCAAAGTCCAGGAGGGAGGAGACAGCGAGGCAGAGCGGTGAGCTGGCTCTGTGTTACGTGGAAGTTTCCTGAAGGAGAGAGGACATTTGTGTAGTCCAGTCAAAGCACACTTGGTTTATGTTGCCCTCTGTGAAGAGCACTGGCATGAACACACAGCTCTTCCACTTGGCATCGGTCAAAGTACAACCAAGCCCTGATCTCTGATAAGTTTACTGCTGAAATGCCACAAAACTACAACACCCCGTCTGGATTTCAGATCTCAAAATGCATTTTAGTCACACATTTGTTATTAGAATTTTGCCTTTTTTAGTGCTTGACTGTGGAACAAAGATGGGCAAACAGGCGTGGTGGTCATAAAGGATCCTGGTGGGACTCAAACTAGACAAGCTCATGGTTGCACGCCACTGGTCCACACGGATGCTGCTCGCATGTTTGTGCAAATGCATACTGTATCTGTGGTTATCTACTGGGGGTAACCTGAGCGCTGTGAGAGTGTGGTGGCTGCCAGGAGCTCATCTATAATGCAGGCCTGTCTCTAAGCAGGCTGCTGAGAGTGCAGGGGAAGGAGAGAATGCTCTCTCAGGTATCCAATAAATCCGTCCCTTCCACAGCAGAGACAAACGAGCTGTGTGAGTAGAGGCCGACACTGTAATTCCACCTCACAAACGATTCTCAGAGCTGGGCTTCTGACGTGGGCCGCAGTGGGTGGATGTGGTCGGCTGGTTAGAAGCACGAACATGAAGACCCGAGCGCGCACACCTCCGTAACCCAACTGAAACGCCACAATTATCTCAGCTGAATAATGACCACAAAGCGCAGCCTGACAGAAAATCTGACGCCTTTCAACCTCTTAGAAATCTCTTTCCTAACAGACGGGAGCCGGATTGAGTTTATGCATCTATATTTGACACCAAGAATAGGAAACGGACCACTTGCTCCCTTCCATTAATCTCTAATGGAAGATCTCTATGTGCATAGAATCCCATGAATAATGTCTGTGCCTGATCAAGAAGGGCCCAGGGTTTCATTTACACTGTCATTTATTTACAGGACTTTCCGAAAGGGATCGTGACTGGGTAAAAGGACACACTGACTGTCCCTGTGATGTTAAAATAAATAAATAAATACAAAGAAGTGGATATTGCCTTAGAGAGGGACACAATGCACACATTTAGCAGAATGAATGAAATGAAGAAAGAGAGAGCTACAAAAGGGAGGGAGAGAAAAAGAGAGAAATTATCAGGGGCTGATCCTTTAATCCCTCTACAGGGCTCTAGAGACATGCTTGTACAAACACAGACCCTATTCAGCCCTCCCCCTCCATTTATCCTCTACATACTTCCTCTCATTTCTTGCCTCTCTAAAGGCGACCTAATGTCAACAGCCAATAACACAATGCATTATCCTACGTATATTTTTAGTGTATAGATATATAATTATAGGCGTGGAGTTGTATTAGCAGATAAAGGCCTCTCTGCAATTGTTATGGTACCAATCCATATGTGAGCGTGTGTGTACACAGCAGCTGGTATTGCAGGGGGGGATCAGGTTCAGGGAACACACATGCTCACACAGCACACACACACACACATGCCCGGGGCGTGTCTGGCAAGATCCAATAATCCCACTACTCCCAGCAATCCACTGGGGAAGGCAGTTTTTTTTGTATCACTCAGCAAAAGCCAGTATGCTTGTTGTAGATTGTGTTTCAATCCGGCGCAGCTTCGCATAAGCAGCTGGACCTTCCGACAAAATATTAATGCGCCGACCGAGACGCCTTTAACCCAAACAGACATGCATGTTTTGTTCATGCTCACACTCACAAGCACATCATCATCATCATCATCAGCAGCAGCAGCAGCAGCAGCAGCAGCAGTGTCATCTGTGACTCCATCACTCTGCTCCTCATTAAGAGAAGCCCTGCTGGGACCCACAGGGGGAACCTCCCTCCAGGTGACAGCTGCGCCACCAACAAAGAACTAATTTAGCCCCTATCCCACCTCATCATTTACACGTTACCATGTCAACACAGCATCCATCCTGACCTTCTGCTACCAGTCACACTCAATCTCATCCGACGCTCGGTTCGGAGAGGCCAAAAAGCCTGAAGGCCTCTGTGGTACCCGCTAAGCCAGTCGCACGGGGAAAACGCAGTAGTTTTTGATTAAATAACAGCAATGTTGGCTCTCGCTGTTTTTAAAAATGAGGACTGACAAAACCATGCAAAATAGGGTGTTGTGTTTGCACTTTTTTTTTTTTAACAATAAGAATCCTTCACCTAAAAAAGAAGAGCAGTAAAAGATTAACTAAAAAATGACATACTGGAGACAGAACACCTGCCTGACACCTTAAAAACTTTCTAGAAAGGCAAAGGCATCCATGAGCCAGAGTCAAACGACTTCACAGATAGCCGTCCACCCGTCCAGGAGAGCTAAGCCAAGAAAGCTAAATACCTGCACCGGACCGTCTCCATCCCTCCTGACATCCTCTCTGGAAACAGCGTGAAAAACAGATGGTGAGAGCAGCACTAGTCTCCGCTGAGCATGTGACCGTCTCTGTTATTCTGGGTCATAGTTGAACAGCTGAACTCTGATATCTGCACTTGTTTCCCAAGTCGATACAGACTATGGACTTTCAGGGCCTGGTATTCGTTGTGTGAGTAAACAATGTTATGAAATGAAAGTGTGCACACAGACTTCTTCCTTGTTGCTGAAGCAGACAAAACTATAAGACATTTGGCAACGTGAACATCACACAGA